TTTTTTTAATTGATAAATAAACAATAAATGACTGAAGAACCCAGGATTTGATTTTAATTTGGAATTGAAACACAGTCAGGAAAGTACGTACAATAAAATTTAAAGCGATATAAGCCGGACTTACATCGCTGTAGGCTCGATACAGCAATACAGAATTCCATTTTGGTTACATTTCTCCAGATCAAGCAATTACTACCTTTACAGCGCTTTAAATGTCGTAGAGAATCACACCATTAGAGTGATAGGATTTAAAATAAGATGCGACAAAATAGCCATATGAAAGAAAACATTAAATTGGCAATATTTCGAAAACTAAACACTTTTAGAATAGACGACTTTCATTAAAGTAAGCCTTTTTCAACACGAAATGCGGCTCAAATTAAGTAGCACAAATTCCCTTATAGGAAAAATGAATAATTTTTCGAGTAGCTGCAACTGTGATTTTTTACATAAAATTTCAAAAATATCAAAAACGGTTAGACACGTATAGGATATTATACATGAAATATATTTAGAATTTGGAGTAGAATTAAAAATGTAATAATATATAATGTGTTCCATTTAAAATAAGCATGCTGATACCTACTTCCGGTATAACCGGAAATGTGGCCATCTTGAAAATAATTTAGATCGCTTGCCCCCAATGACTTGGGCACACTACCCAATTTTCAAATTTCTCCTAAATACAATTTAACAGATATCGATTTCTCGGTGGAACACCCTTTATAAAAAAAAATTATAGAAAGAATCAAGGAAGTACTCGCAAATAAAACCTACTGGTAAAAGTACTGCAAAAATTGACTGTACCAAATCTGACTGCTACAGAGAAATGACAAAATGACAAAAATCTGTATAGATATATTTGAAGAAAATCAAATCATGGGTCAGACCGTGTTTATTTACCAACTCTCTATCTCTATGATGTACCTTAATGCACTACTATTAACAATAATTAATGGTACTACTGATGTATGTACAATATTTAAAAATGACTTTGCGTCGTTTTTTTGAAGTGATAAAGAGAATCGGTTGGAATGCGTTACGGCGCCGTTGTCTGCCGATCCCCACCCTGATGTATCTTCCTTTCTCTCTCGTACCCGCACAGCGACTCAGCAGAGACATGCGCACTCGGCGCGAGAGTTCTCTATCTTTCACACACTCGACGACTTAGCGAAGACATCCCCGAATGAGATTAGAAAATTATTAAATTATTTTGGGGAAATTGGTGGGTTAAACAAGTTCAATATTTTATAGCTTCTATAAATATCATATGAAGTTATCACTCCTGTCAGCCGTCTCGTGACGCATACTTCTTTCTCTTGCTTGGGACAAGCCTTCACAATTTATACTCAAAAACGACAGAATATCCGTACTAACCTGCCTAGCGCTTTATTCAAAAAGTGCCTTCTATACACAGCATTCCATATTTCCCTTACGAATTCGTTGTCTACTTCAATCGCATTTCTTTGAAGGTTATTTCTGACTGTAGTTAATTCATCATAAGATAAAATTGGAGGATGTTTCTAAAAACATCAAAACCTGGTTTAGTCTCTATTAACAAACCCAATACAACCAACAAGAAAAACATAACCAAAGCTTCAATACAGTTAGGAACAAACTAAAATTGAAGTGTTTAAAATAAAGTTAATTTGAAAGCAAAATTCTGGAAAAGTAAGTGGAATATTATCCATATATTTTCTCATTATTTTATAACGATTGTCGACTGAGTGTGAAGTGTCCGACCGACTGCCCCACTTTAGAGATTCTACTTACATCGTTAGAATATAAAATCCTGTCCAATTCGTTCTTAACTTGTTGCCTTTTGGATTGTACTTCACTTTGATACTTCCAGTACAGCCACCTTTCTTTAACAGATGGGCCCAATAAAGCTTTTAAAGTTTCTTCGCTCTCCTTCATTTTTGCTTTCACACTAGCCTCCAAAAATTTCACTGCTTGATCCCAGTCCCTCTTATCAGCAATAGTTCTATCTTCTAACGTATTCAGTTGGATGACTCTCAGCATATCTGAAGCCTGCAGTCAGATATTCTTTAAAATGTGTTCGAAAATAGAAATTGATATGTTATGATAATTTTGAAAGAAAATACCTTATAAAGAAATTACATTACAGTGTTATTGAGAAAAGAAGATATGTGTGTATCTGTTAGAAAAATAACATGCAGAACATTTTTAAGAGGCATGGAAACAAGCAAATCCTCAATATTTTTGAGGAAGCAAATTAATCCCCTTTGTTTTTAAAATGCTGGATTAATGGCCCAAGACGCATTCCTGGTTCAGATTACATCGTCTTAACGTGGTCTATTATCTTTTGCTTTTTCTTCTTAAGATTGTGTATAGTAGCACGCACAACACCATATAATTTTGCCAATTTGCACATGCTTTCTCCAGTATCTAACTTTTTTTAAATGTCAATTTTATCTTTCAAATGTAGTTTTTTTATTATTTTTTTGTCGTTTATACGACATATTTAACTACACACTATTACTTACAAAAAAAAAACAGGTAAATATGTACGCACGTGCACGTGATGTTCGTATCGGTCTATTGCAGTGTCGGATTAGTGAGATTATACTGTATTGAAAATATCCTTCTAAAGTGAATCAATAAAAAAAGCCACAAACTACAGTTATAGAGATCAATATTTAAGCATTAACTGGTCATTAGCCGACGCGGCAGAACTTTCGAATTTTCTCCCCATTTTCCGATATACCATAACTTTTTTGTTTCTTGGTAGAAGTCACGACCCTTAGCAATCGAGCTTTACTTATAAGGACTTTTTGCCAAAACCGCTAGTGTTTCCCGTTGTCGAGATACCGCCGATCTTTACCCTTATCGGGTCACCCTATACAATCTGGAAATTTTAAACTTAGACTATTTAATTAAGAATTGATTGATCTTTGCAGTTTGGTTACTGAATCTAGTACAATTGAAGATAATTCCAATAAGACTCAAAAAATTAAAACTAAAATCCTGTTCAAATATTAAGGTTTCTCTTATGGTATTTAAAAAAGGGTGGTCAAAAACCGACCGATGCTTACTTTATCTTCCCATTTGTGCCGATTCATAGCTTCATTCACCACAGCCCTTTTTAACTGATCAAATATGTCATCATGTTCAGGAGCTTGTGAGGCTCGCTGCATAAATTTTTGAAACTCTGATTTCAAACTTTCCCATCCACATTCCACAGACTGAGCGGGTAAAGTCGATTCAGCCCATTGCCGCAGTTTAATATCAACTGCAGTATTGAACGTTTCTGAAACATTTTACATCCGACTAGAATAATTCTAAGTATTAACACTTAGACTAAAATAGTTAATATTAAATAAAGGTTTTTAATAATTTACAAGGTATTCAGCTAAAGATGGCTTTCGGCCATATGTCAAAAAGCGCGTTTTAGTTTTGATTATTTCAGGAAGTTGACAGTTATGTTAGATATGTGCAAGATATAGAATGAGTTTTTAGTAGTTCGGTTGCTCAATTATAAACTAGTCTTCATAATTGTGAAACTTTTGTATCAAGTACACTGCAGGAGGTAAAAATTCCAATAAAGATAAATCACTTAATTTAAATTATTTCAAATATTTGTCCAATTAGGTAACGTTTTTATATCGGATATAATGATTGTGATAATGATAATGATCGAAAAATGATTCAATTTAGCGCCAATTTGATACAGAATAATTTTTTGAATCCCTTAAAATGAGATAGAAGGATACCCGAGAATCAGTCACGAGGTTCACAGTTTTTCAGTTTTCAGCAGAATGAATGGTACCCCATAGAAGTTTTTGCTTTGTTTTAAATTTGCTACATTCTGGTCAAGAGCTTATCTTGATATCTTCATTAATATTAGTTATATACACGCCATAAATGGAAACCACGAACGCAGCAGCACAATTGCAGAAATTCTGTTGATAAATCATTTCTGTATCTAGTCTATAAGTACGCCGACTTGCCCGCACTACATTCTCTGTCAAGCCTTCAGCACGCGAAATTTTGTACGTCAAAATAAAAACTTTCGTTTTCAAAAAGGACATTTTCATTTGGAAATCTATAATTCATTCGAGCAATTTTATCTAAAAAAAATACTTAAAATTGTAAACAAAATGACATGGTTTGATTTGTTACATGTAGGAATTTAATATACAGAGTTATTCAAAATTGGCGTCGTACCTTTTAAGGGGTAATAGGGGCTCACTTGGTACGAGAAAAATATTGATATTTTTTTTTCGATAATTTCCAGAAGATACTAACAATTAAAAATCGAATTTGAACTTTGTTATTAAGCATTATTTTGAAAGTGTTCCATGTTTAATTCGAAGCGTATTGGAACTTAAGCATTCAAAAAAAAAATTACGATGCTTGCTTTAAATTACGAAAATGTTTTACATTAAAAACGTTCCGTTCTACAATTTTTTGATGAAAAGTTAAAGCTGCAATGATGTTTTTTGTCATGAACAGATAGTTACAGGTGGATAGCCATTGTCAATAATGTACCGTGGATGGCCGAGTATCAAACTCTTTCTTCAGCTTCCAACTTTTATTCACCTCTGTATAACTTTAAATGCGGAACAGGAACAAACTAACTTCAAAATTACCGTCAACTTCACAAACAATAACAAAAACACACGGAAAAATCGCTCTTCAGACTCGCGGGGTTTAACCTCTTCTGCACCCGGTCGTTGCTGTTACTTCACGCTGACTTGTTCTCCTCGCCGCTTATATAGATTCCTTCAGGTAACCTAGATGGTTCTCGAAATCTCCAGAACAGGTGCGAAACTTCCCGCTTGTCAGTGTCATATTTGACAGTAAATGGGGCGCAAATGGGGCTCCCATTTACTGAAATACCACGAATTTTGATCCCTCCATTTCAAACGTGAGTACCCCAGGCCATTTCCGTTACAATAATAACAATAATTTGTCAAACTATGACTTACTTTGAGGTTCGCGAATTTGCGGATATACGATTAGTTCATGGGAAATGCTACAGTAACATAGTAGAAGCTGAAAGAACTCACGCCAACAAAGGGCGAGGAGAGTGGTTCCAAGAAGATAGTAGACGACAATAGATGTTCGGGTTCCAGACAGAACAAGTATTGGACACAATTGCAGAAGAGCCTTTTAAGGGCACTCAAGAACATTGCACAACAACTGACACTCTCCCAGGCACCAAATAAATACCGGCTACATTCCTAAGATACACATTAAACCAATGGATTACTCTACACCGGTATGAATTGAGCAGGAGTTAATTAACAGAATACGAGAAGCTGCTCGAGAAAAGTGCATAATAAGGTGATTACACAGGCACTTGTTTGGAGTGACAGACTCAAATGTATGTTTTTGTAATTTGTAAACAAAGTAATAAGTAGAGGTTATGATTTGCGAAATAGGTTCCGTCATTCAACGATTCCTGTTGAGTTTACCGTTTATCCTTGTCTATCTTATTGGCACTTTCTGTATAATTCCATGGATACCGGAGTTTTAAATAATTACGAAGCAACAAGTATTTTTGTAAAGTTAATTAGGCAGATTACCTTGAACAACATTGTTGCATAATTTCCGACTGAGTTTTAGCAAATTTCTCGCTTTTTTGCGAGAGTAAATGATTCAAACTATTTTTCCCCAGACAACACCTCCAGAGGAATGACGCTAATTTTGAATCACCCGGTATATCCACAATTGAATATGTATCCACTTCCGTTCATAATTTACCAAGCATGTAACCATAGCAACGAGAGATAACAACACAGGACGTAAAAATGAAACGACGCCAAAAAGACGTTAATTTGAAGAAAGCCGCTAAAATCCATTTAGTCCAGAAAAGTCAGTATAGTTCCCTGCAAGTCGAAAAGACGTCAACTGCACTTGTAATGTCGGTTAATCAATCCTAGACCATTAGAAAAATCTTACATTTTGGGAGCTCAACCGGGATCGACGAAGAATAGTCTACCGGTTATAGACGAATGGAAGACGAAGGGAAAACGAAGTGAAGACGAAAGAATAAACGAAAGGAAGACGGGAAGTACATTTATCGACGAAAAGGTGGGCAAAACGATGAACAGCTTGCGCTGTCACATGATATGTTGTGGTGGCGATTGCAAAAGAGCTGACTGGTAGATAAGGAACTGTAGGTGTTTCTGTAATTTTGGAAGAGTTAATTCTGGAGGCGCTCATCGAGTTGTGACAGCCATATCGCGTTGTGACCAGGTACTTTAGTTTTAAGCGAAATAAAGAAAAATAAAAGCTGGTGCTTTACTTTAGTTTGCCGTATATCTAGAAGCAAATTGATAATTTATGTATGATTAATTTTAATGAAGTTATGTAAAAAATTTCCACGCACAGGAATACGTTGAATGAGAACGTATTTTACAATTGTATTATTTACGAACGTCGTCTTTTCGCTTTTAGGTAACGTATACTGAAATTTGTATAGAACAATTTGTCTTAATCGGTATATCAAGATGTCTAATTTGGGCGATTTGGATAAATTTACGCTGAATATTGGTAAAAGCGAATCAAGTAAAGTTAAAGCATTGCACTTTATAACTTATGGAGCCGATTGTGAATCGCGGAAAACGAGTAAGAATTGCCGGGAGTTTACGGGCCTTCAGTTAAAATTAGAGTCAGATGGGTTTGCAAAGAAAATGTAAAGGAAAACATTGAAGTATATGATCTAATTTCTGCATGCGATCTGTTAGAGCTAAATCAAAAGGGTACTGCTCACACTTTGGTGAGTCGTATTTGTTCGTTCATGAATGATTTAAACTTCGACAAAAGCATTGCAAGTAAGAGTCGAAAACGAGTAAAAACCGTAGAAGCAGATGAGGAAGATGTAAGCGAAGAAGATTTTGACGTTGACGACGAAGATGAACATTCCGCCGTATTGCAAAGTGGTTTGGGTTAGTTAGATTTTGACGAAAACATTTTGACATAACCGGATGGAATGATCTGAAAAACACTAATATTTCCCAAAAAGTTGCTACGAGGTTAAGCTAAACTTTTCGTACAATCTGGGAACGGTATCAAGTCTTGGGCGGTACTAAAGAAGAAGCTACTAGGAGAGTTCCAAATTAAGCATTCAAGTTCATAAGCTGCTCATGTCAAAAATTAAAGAGATACGAAACAGTACAAGAGTATGTACTAATTATAAGAGAAGTAGGAAGCAGAGCTAATGTAGAGGCTGAAGTTTTATAATACAGTGTACAATAGATGGCTTTCAGGATGACTTACTAAATAAAGTTATTTTAAACAGTGCTGGAAATTTTAGTAAGTTCAAGTAAAAAGTGAGGATATACGAACAAATGAAAACTACTAAAATAGTAAGTGAATCTAACATGGCACCAAGAAATAGGAACGGCATGAAAGGTGATAAATAAACCAAAACTGAAGAGAAGAGGCAGCACAAAATTAGCTCGGGCTATAATAGTCCAGTCGGATTAGATTTTTTCCGGCCACTAAATAGATGAAGGTAAAAGATTATTGGAAGTTGTTTGGAAGGATGTCAGAATATTGGGACAATAGTTTCAGCGGGATTTCCGGCTGGGGAACATTGTTTAAATAATTAAAGCAAGTGCGAAAAACTGTTTTTTGTGCTTAACTTGAGAACCCTTGATGCTTTCCGCTTCAAGGAGAAAAGGTGTGTTCAACGGTATTTCCGGATGTATGGGAAGCATTCGATAAAGTCTGGCATGAAAGCTTACTGTACAAACTTAACAAATTATAGCCAGTGCAATTAGCCAACTTGTTAAAATTTTACATGACAGACAGAATGTTCCGAGTGAATCACGAATCGGAGTATTCAGACTTCAAAGATATTCGAGCTGGATTACCTCAAGGAAGCGTTCTAGGCCCGATCTCATATCTTCTGTTCACTAGTGACCTACCGCAAACAACAAACGTCGTAGCGGAAACATTCGCTGATGACACGGCTAAAACTGATGAAGAATCTACGCTGTTTCTACAAAGATCCAATGACTTAGTCCAAAATTGGACGGAAAAGTGGCGGATAAAACTTAACGATCAGAAAGCAGGACATATGAACTACCTACATCAACAAAATAATTTCGAATCCAAAGAGGTTAACAATAAATTGAAATATAATCCCTTTAGAAAACACATCAAAATATCTTGGCCTTGATGAACCTTGACGCTAAAGCTAAACGGGTCCAGTACACCAAAATCAAACTTGCAGAACTGCAAATCCGCAGTTCTACTGGATACAACTTGAAAATTATCGACTTCCATCTACAACCAGCTATTAGTTTACAACCAAATTCTTAAACCTATTTGGATGTATGGCATTCAACTGTGGCGATGTGCTAGCCGTTCTCATATTTTAAAAATACAACGATTTGAAAGCAAAGCAAAGTACTACAAACTATTGCAAACGCTCCTTGGTACGTACGCAACAGCGACGTTCCTCGTGACCTTGGTGTACCTTTGGTTGCAGAGGTCATAAAACAGATTGCAACGAAACACAAAATCGTTTCCTACAGCACCAACATCCAGAAGCACTGAAATTACTTGACAACAACTAGATGTCAAGACGCCTCAAAAGGACTAAAACCTTTGAACTCGTCACATGACAGGGCTAACAACAAAGCTCCATAAGGCGGCGGTCCCACAGAACCACCGGTGACCACCCGTAACCATCAAGCAGATTTCGAACATATGCCATTCCCATTGAACCGGTCTCACAGAAAGCTTCATTAGTCATCCACTGCTAACCACCGTTTCGAAATTTCGGAGGAGTTCGAAATTTGGTAGTGTGGTAGAAGGCGGTGAATGCGCGCATGTGGGTTAGAAATGATATCGGCTTGGTTTGGGCCCTTTCATAAAAAGAAAGGTTATATACTGGTAAACAGTGAAAGCCAGTGAATAATTGCTGTGAGACCGCTGCCTAACTCACCCCTCGGTTGATTCAACACCACGACGAAGTGCAAAGTAAATCAATGGATTCTTTGTAAAATAATTATGTAAAAAATGTTCAGATGTAATCTAATACTTGGTCAGCAATAACCAGTTTTAATAAATCTACTTAAAAAAATCCATTCAAAAAAAGGTAAGTTTTGTCTGTCCCTTGAATTTGAGACAGCCCTGTATCAATTGGGACTATCTTAAAATAAAAACAAATAAAATGTTTCTCTAAATTTCAAATTAGATGCAAAAACGGGGATGTTCAAAAAAAGTTCAATCAATAACCCTGTATGTAAATCCATTAAATGTATTCTCTTTAGGAAATTATTTATTGTATTTATTATAATTTTTTCTCTATAATCCAGTAATCGGAACATTCCAATAATCCGGTACCCTATGGTTTTCCATAGCGCCAGATTAGTGCGATTGTACTGTACTTCACGAAATATTCTAATTGACGCTGACCGTGACACACCCTGTATATTTTAAAATTCTTGAAACACGTCTTATTCATGACAAGTCTAAAGTAAAAAATATAACCAACTAATATATATACCTGATGCTCCAGTTTGTGCTGCGGGCAAATAAATGTTTTCAAACACATTTCCTGATACCTTTCCCCACATATTTACAAGTAGGCGCTCCTCCCATTCTCTAGGGCTAACTTGTGATAAGTTAACAACCTCATCCAAAATTTCACCTCTCGCCCTTTCAAACAGCTCGTCGCGATCTTGTTCTCGAAGCCTGTAACATAAGATATATATTAGTGTGGTAGGCGTAGCTGTGACTATCCGCGTCACACAATTGGTGCACCTGTTCTTAAAAGAAGACATATGCAGTTTGTATTTGTTAAATATTAATTATAATAACATTAACATAAAGGAAACTCAGAGAAGCCATTGCGTGAGGGCGGGAAACAAAGAAGACAAAGTGAGCCAGAGTACGAAGAATCTAATGAAGGTGAGAAAAGATATGGGGAATTAATACGTCGGAAACTGTGATGCACTTAGGCCGATTTTCACCAGAAACAAACTAACAGCAGTTTAACGAAAGTAAATTCATGGTAAACGCCGAAATTAAACTCGTTTAGCGACGTGTCGTTTTCACCAGCACTTCCATAGCTGCGTTTAGCAAAACGCAGTTTAAGAAACTGGAAACGCTGGCATCGTTGCTAAATTGAGAAATATTACGAGTGGCTCATCGCAGTAACATCTGTCAATGAACAAGTCCTATGTTTGACAGGTAGCTTATTAAAATACTTAAGCATTTGAAAAGAAAAAATTCCATATTTACTGCAAATTACGAAAAATTTTCATATTCAAAAAGTACCCTTCTACAATTTTTTGATAAAAAGTCAAAGCGGCAATGATGTTTTCAGTCATTAGCAGATAGTTACAGGTAGATAGCCTTTGTCAATAATAACAATAATTTGTCAAACAATGATTTACTTGAAGCTCCTTGCACGAATTTGCGGATATGCTATTAGTTCTGAGGAATGCCACAGTAACATAGCAAAAGCTGTTAGAACTTACGCTAACAAAGGGCTACATATATTGGAAAATTGGCTCCAGGACGATAGTGAACGACAACAGACAGATGTTGGGTTCCAGACACAGATGGAATGACGATAATAATGATAATAATTCTCACGGTATAGTGCGCGCCAAGAGATGCAAGGCTGGGGGGAAGCCCAGCCAAAAGCGACTAACCTTGAGGCAACAGGCGCACCTCATTGTATCAGCCTCACCCACACATGCGGGGCTCTGTGTGAATGGACCTAACCCTTCCCTAGCTACTCGTGGGAATGATGGGGAGGAAAAAACTACCATCATACACCACAAAATACCGGCGGGACCTCATCAGAACCGTCGCGGCCCGCAGCTGGCAAAGTACCGAAGGGTGGTAAAAAACTCTCGGGGGCCGCCAGGCGGAAAAAACTCCAAAACTGTGCTAGGTAGGTTCCCTCAGGGGAACCAGCACACCCCAAAAAAGCTGCCATGACCGGGACGCAAAAGAGACACCAGTCGGATGGCAGCACACCCAACAAGCCAGCACCTGGGCGGCTGTATGTGGGAACTTCCGTATAGGAAGGAACCACACACAAGTCTTGCAAAGTTGCGGTTTTTATGTAATTTTAATGAGGCAGGTTACCTTGAAAAACATTGTTGCCATCCTTCTGATCTAGTGTTTTGAGAATATCTCAGTTATTAATAACATTTTTTTTACATTTAGGAATGTTTTCCGGGCTTTGAAGCCGTGGTCTATGGGAATTTCTTCCTTGGGGAAGAAATTCCGATAGACTCGTCAAAACTCGTCAACTTATGTAGGAATTGTAGATTCCAAAATTAGTGAAAATCGATATAGGCGTTAGAAATTATTTGGAATAAACGATATTAATTTGAGAACTTTGGCGCCCTGTAGCGGCAAAAAAAGCAACATTGAATATAGGTACGTTTGCCTGATTGCCTTATTTTTGGATAAGGAAATTGTGGTTAAGCTTTGTACAGCCACTTGAGGGACTTTTTGGGCGCAATGGGGGAGATCTTCGGATAACAAGACTATACAACTATACTCCGTACACTATAACTATGGTCGCACGTCCTCATCGTATGTCGAGCGTTGTTGCCATACCCGCCATAAAGTATATATATAAACATAAATACTCGAAGCAATATTAGATTATCTCTATCGTGTCTCGCTTTTGCTGATTATTCTTTATGGAATAATGGTTTATTTGAAAAGCACAAATATACCGTCAAGGCAATAGACATGGACAAGTACATGACAAATGCAACAAGCAAACGTCATGCGTCTTTAAAAAAATTCCGAGAAATCTTCGATCGATTCAGCAGCAACTAATACACAGGGTGAATCAAAATTGACGTCATTCCTCTGGAGGTGTTGTATGGCGCTGTTTTAGAAGTACAGAAAAAATAGTAAAAAAATTAATTGTTATTAAATACTAAGAAATTTGCAAAAAAACTCTATTAGAAAAACGGCATAATGTTTTTCAAGGTAATCTGCCTAATTACCATTACGAAAAACCTGTTGCTTCGTAATTATTTAAAACTCCGGTAACCATGGAATTAGACAGAAAGTGACAATAAGATAGACAAGGATAAACAATAAATTCAACACGAATCGTTGAATGACGGAACTTATTTCGAAACTTATAACCTCGAATTATTAATTTGTTTACAAATTACAAAAACATACATTTGAGTCTGTAACTCCAAACAAGTGCCTGTGTAATCACCTTATTATGCACTCTTCTCGGACAGCTTCTCGTTTGCGGTTAATTAACCMCTGCTCAATTTACTGGTAAAACTGGTGTTCAGTAATCCATTCGTTTAATGTGATCTTACCTACGGTGATCTTACCTACGTGGTAGGAATGTAGCCGGTATTTATTTTGTGCCTGGGAAAGTGTTAGTTGTTGTGCAATGTTCGGTGTGGCCCTTYCTCTGTGTCTRGAACCCGAACATCTATTGTCGTCSACTATCTTCCYGGAACCACTCTTCTCGCCCTTTGTTGGAKTGGTTTCTTTCAGCTTCTGCTATGTTATTGTAGCATTTCCCCTGAACTAGTCGCATATCCGCAAATTCGTAAAAGGAAATTGAAAGTAAGTCACAGTTTGACAAATTATTGTTATTATTGACAAGGGCTATCCACCTGTGACTATCTGTTGATGACAAAAAACGTCATTGCCGCTATGACTTTTCATCAAAAAATTGTAGAAGAAAACTTTTTTGATATCAAAAATTTTCGTAATTTAAAGCAAAAATAGTAATTTTTCTTTTTGAATGCTTAAGTATTCCAATATGCTACCAATTAAACATGGAACACATTCAAAATAATGCTTAATAACAAAGTTGAAATTCGATTTTCAACTGTTAATATCTTCTAGAAATTATCAAAAACAAAATTTCAATATTTTTCTTGTACTTTCCAAGCCCCCTATTACCCCTTAAAAGGAATCACGCCAATTTTGAATCACCTGTATATTAGTATTCTAAAGTTTTTTCACATTTTACGATTGCTTCAGGTTCTCCAATGCCCAAAACACAACAAAAAAGATTCGACTGATCACACAAATTTCATGCATGATAGTCTTTCCCAGTGAGCATTTTATTCCTATAAAGGAAATGTTACAAAGCCAACGTCGTTGTGAAGTCACGATTCCCTTATTTTGTGTCAAATTTTTCACAAAATATTGAATGACGTCATGGTGAGTGCCTAATTATACGCTAGAAAGGAATTATGTGTACTTTTACACATTGTAGGCTTTAAATTGGCAYCCAAGGGATTGTTGCCTAAATCCAAGTAATCGCYGACAAGGTTTAGGAATTGTGTTAAAAGTAATTTCTTAACTGCAACTATGTTATCCTAAGACACAAATAGGAAACGCTGTGTGCAACAAGTTAGGAACTGTTTTCTTTAAATCACAATCTTTATTTGTGTATTTCGAAAATAAGGAATTACTTCTAGAATATTTCAGAGATGTCGCAAAGGAAACTGTGTGACATAACAAGGATCGTTTTGAACTTGATCAACAACATTACTTCACATTTACGCAACTAATAGTATTTTTCTACGTCCCATTGCAATAGCTTTGGACAAACAATGCGTACATTTTTTATGCACTTTTAATCCAGTTTTGGGAGACCACGACAAAGCACCACTTCTCGAGAGAAGAGACCACTTCTCGAGTGTTGAAACCGGGTGAATGGAGGCATAAAAGTCGCTGGCTAAAATCAGTCATATAATTTGAAATTTTGAGAAAGAACAAACAGAATAATATGTTTAGGCAATTTGTATCAATGTAGTTTAAATATGACTATAATAAAATAAATCTATATTATATTTAATATAACATAGATTTATTAAAATCTTCTTGTTTTTTTCTTCCTGCTGTTCCATCTGTTTCATAACTTTTTGTAGCATTACTGTTATTGAATCAGCACTACTTGTTCCTTGAGCTTGTTCTAGTCCCCTTGTAATTTGGGAATATGTTGTCTACTTACCAATATAGTCTTCAACTTGTCTCTGTTCATTTTTTCTATTGTTGCTAGCTTCTGAAAGCTGTCGATCTGGTAACTTCTTATTGTTAGCTTGGTTTCGTAACTCTTGTAGCGTTATGGCTGTGGTGCATCCCCTATAGCTCGCAGGATGCGCCTCCCCACAGTGTATGCATTTGGCCGGGGTATTGCTAGGTTTCTTGCAGTCATTGGGGGATGATTGCCCGCACATTTCACGCATCTCGGTTCTTTTCCACAATATTTTTGGGTATGAACATAATCCTGACAATTTTTACACTGCGGAATAAGTTTGGGATTTTTGAATGCCTCCAATTTTGTAGATTCTTTTAATGTCTTCTTCTCTGCTGAAGGTTAACACAAATAAGGGTAACGGAGTTTTGTCTTTGCTTCTGCTGGGGCTGGTGAACATCCAATAAATTTAAATTTTTATCCTTTAGATCTGCAGTAATATCTTATATTTTGCAGGTGTGATGTAAATTTCTAACCACCACTTTGATTGGTCTAGACTGTTTGTCTTGAAAAGAATGCCATTCCAGATTCATGTTTTTGACTACAGCTGTTAAATTCCTATAGTCGCTTTCGTCCTTGACATTTATTTTTATCTTTCCGCCAGCAAGCATACTTGCCTGGAACTTTATTTGATTTTTCACCAAATCTTCAGTTGGGGCATTGTAATTATCAATTGGGCTGGTAATTATTGATGGAGGTTTCTTTTTTATATTGATTTGCTGCTGTTGGGTGCTTTTTATGGTGTTACGTTGCCCTGGTTCTTTGCATTCCTTACCCTAATCCATTCCGTTTCCTTACTTACTTCTTTGTCTGTGTAGTATTCATCTTCGTCTGTGTAGTATTCATCTTCAATTTTTTTTCAATGTTTGCGTGTGATAATTTACCCTCTAATACTGTATATTTGAGCATTAGCTCATTGTACAACTTCTGCATGGCATTTAATTGGGATTGAAGTTACTCAACTTTATCATTAGCTGCAGTTTTTTCATTGGTAGACACTAATGTTTCCATTATAATGGGTTTATTAGGAGTGTGAAAACTTGCATTGCGATACATTATGATTTATTTTGATTTTGTTTGGTTCCCGATAAACCCACGACACGCACGTCGATCGAGCACCACTTGCACATTTACGAAATTCTCACTCCGATAACTCAGATACGTGTTTACCGGTCGATAGTCACAACGATACTAGACGGGAAAGTGGCAATTGGAATACAGCCGGACGGCCAAAAGGGACAAATATTCAGATTAACGAGCATCGCAAAAATAAATGTAGTAAAATAATACGCGGCGCTCAAAGCAATACAGATATGCAACAGGGATCTACAACGTGACATAACGATGCTGACAAACAGGAAGCAGCAGGTTGAGGCCATAGTCAAAGGCAAAACAAGAACAAAACTGCAGATAGACATCTCAAAGCACATCGAACAAAGACATAAAAGAGGATGAACAACAAGAGTGCGATGGGCGAAAGGACATGATAAGAAAAACATACACAACGGAGCAGCCTCCCGCTAGCGAATGAAGGAGCTGAACTGCTCAACGAGACGACACTACAGAATACAACGCCAAGAGAAACCACGACTGGGCCAAGACACGGGAAAATACCACAATGGCACGATGGCAAGAATACTGGGACACCACCGACAAAGACCGACAACTACACCAAATGTGCATGACAGTTAGCAAACACATAATACCGACAACATTCATGGCGACACAATTTGCAACGGGGCACGGTAACAAACCATTATTTACATAGATTCAAGCTGACAAACAAGGCACTCTGTGGATGTGGAACGGGCGGCGAGACAATCGAACACATAAAACATAACTGCACAGAATGGGACAGGATACAGGCACGAACGCATATTCTCGCAAATACGGCAACCTCAGGGATACGGAGGGAAACAACACCTCGGATGTAGACAAACTTCCAAAACGAATGGGCAGATTGCAATTATTTCGTGCTGAAAAAAGATATTATTTCATAACATGTGCGGGTATGCAACATGGCCAGTGCTTCAATTTGTGCCAACAGTGCATTCATTTTAGAATTCGCGATTGTAAATTCTGGTATAAACAGAACCGATACCAAACCGAGATAAATAAGAATTCATCAGTAGATTTGGTTATCGGGAATCAAGTCCGCCCCAAGCTCAATTCGAGGTGCAGCGCAGTGAGGCGCGATGAGTTATAACTCACCAACTCACAAAGCGGCATCAACTCAAATGCGCAACTCGACATAGTGTTACCCAGGACGACGACGATCAATACATAAGTCATTTCAAGGACACCATGTATAAATGAAGACAAAATTAATAATTTATGTGCAGCGCTATTTTATACGAGGTGTAATCTTCGTCTCAAACCAATACCTTAAGCCACAGAAGCACTTTCCACCGAATCATTTTATTGAAGACAAGCGTACTAAGACGAACTAAACGAAAAAAATTAAGTCTGCAAATGGTTTTAAACGTCTAAAACATGCAAATATAAGGCGCTAAAAGCGAAATCTATTAGCGTTCTTCTTTGCCCAGAAAACACATTTCGAGAATCAATCTATTAAAAACAAGCACATTTGAAAAACCGAAAAAAAGCCTGCAAATGGTGTTAAACATTCCAAAATTGACATGCAAGAAGCATTAGAAGTTTCGAAATCACTTATCGCATTTGTTGGCCCACAAAACGTATACACATATGTTTTTCATGAATCAGATTATTGAATTGTTAGTTGTGAAAATATACCTACTTAGTAGTTTTTTCAAATCTGCACAACACCATTGTTAAAATACTAATTTTACCTGGGAAAATTATTCTTCCATTCCGTTTCCAGGTTGAATCTTCGAGCCTTAAAAGAATCTGCTTGTTGTTCAACAGTTTCTCTGACCATTTTCCAAAAGCAATCCGCTACTGCCAAACTTAAGTTTCGAGTAGTTACTTGAGTTGACCTAATTTGGCTGTCTCTGAAATATGAATGTTACATTGATCAATTAAGTTAAAAATAACCTTTGGACTAGAAGAATTGCTCCAGTTTAATAACATATTTAAATATAAACGGTTGTCCCACATTTAAACGGAGTATACAGGGTGATTCAAAATTGGCGTCATTTCTTTTAAGGGGTGATAGAGGCTCACTTGGGGAGTACGAGAAAAATATTTTAAAAATTTAACTTTTATTTATTAAGGTTAATACGACCCTAAATTATGCCGGATGTCAATTTGAAAACTTCCCACCCTTAATGTCTTTCTTGTATACATTAAGAATTTGCTTAGATCTTAAAGATGTAAATACAAGGACTGTCCGATAAGTATTTAGCCTCACAACCCAATGGCGCCACTATTGCAAAAATTGTCACTGTTTTCTGGGATTCATAAGGTGTGATCTACATCGACTACCTGGAGAAAGGAAAAACGATCACAGGACTCTACTATACCGATTTATTGGTCCGATTCGATGTCGAATTGCAGAAAAAACGACCCCGTTGGGCAAAGAAAAAAGTGCTCTTCCACCATTACAACGCCCCGGCTCACACCTCGGCCGTAGAAATGGGCTGCGAACTGCAGCCCCATTCACCATATTCTCCAGATTTGGCACCGTGTGACTTTTTATTTCCAAACTGGAAAAAGTCACTCGCCGGCAGAAATTTGCAATCGAATGAGCAGGTCACCGCCACAACGGAGACCTACTTTGCAGACCGCGAGAAAACGTATTTTTCAGGCGGGTTAAAAAAGTTGGAGCATCGCTGGGTCAAGTGTATCGAATTAAAAAAGGATGTTGAGAAATATACCAGTTTTCCAAAATTTTGCGTTTTTTTTTGTAGGCTAAGTACTATATTAAGAAACCTGTCCTCCTCTTCAACTAAACGGCGACCAACTACATCAAGCAGAAGACGTGAAATACTTGGGTATCCATCTCATGAGGTGGCAAAAACATATATTTTCGAAAAGAAAGCAACTGGGCATTAAGCTCAGCAAAATGTATTGGCTGGTCGGAAGAGGATCCCAACTTACAATGGAGAACAAACTGATAGTTTACGATTCCATCCTAAAGCCGGTATGGACTTACGGAGTACAGCTTTGGAGTTCCGCCTCTAAATCCAACGTTGAGATCCTCCAACGATTTCAGTCCAAAGTTCTACGAATGATCGTTGATGCTCCGTGGTTCATCCCAAATGAAATTATCCGCCGCGACCTTCAAGTACCAACTGTGAAAGAAGAAATACGAAGCTACAGTGTCAAATACCACCAACGACTAAGTGTCCATCCAAACAAACTTGCTCAACATCTCTTCCGTAGAAAAATCCTAGGAGTAAGAAGATTAAAACGACATGATCCTGGCGATCTGCCAACCAGATTTTAACTCCACCTCCACCGATTGCCAACTTCTGAGCATTGATCAACCAGCAGTCCAATTTTAATTGTGTGAATTAATTTTGAAAGGGGGGGGTATCACTAGACCCTTTTCTACACCTTATTTACAATAACACAAAAAATACTTATTATCATTCAATAAATTGTAATTTCTTGGAGTGAAATAAAACAAGTACTTATTGGACCGCCTTTGCATATGGGTTAAAAGACATTCAGCCCTGTGCTGTATCACTCACGTTAACTTTAACGTACATGTTATCCGTCTAACACGTTATGTGGCTCCAACTGGGGTGTTGTATCAGTAAAACCTTTATATTATAACAGGCGCTCGCTATCGACGAACATTATATGAAGAAATAGCGCTTCAGAATAACAGCATCAAATCACATGCCGCTATCGAACTTAACGTGCGTCCCTCGAATTTACCTCGGAGGAATAAATAAAACAATTGTGTTTAATCAGAGCGTAGTTTTGTCTTTTAGCTATAATTTGTTTTTAATTTAAAAGAAAAATATGTCTTTTGGTGGTCTTATAAAGTTAGCTTTATTAGAACAATTGGTAAATTTTCTTGAAAATAAACTTTATTGTCCTCCACAAACTCTACTAAATTTTCAAATTGTTTGCGGGTTGTTTTTTTTTGCCTCTTCTGTGCATGCTTCATTCAAAGCGTTTGAGAAGATAGGTCAAGAACAATAACGAACGAAATTGAAAGTGAATGCCAATCATAAACAAAGACAAGTAGAGTAGTAGGTGGGCCGAATGGTCAAAACGTGCACATGTAGTGCATATGTTTTAGAAGCTTCGATGGTTTGATGTTAACTCTCTCTCTAACTAATAGACTATTTGTATAAAGGCATCTCACTTTATGCATCCAATATTGTTTTCCCTTTTTAACGTTTGATGGATAACTGGGTCGTAAACGCATACGTTAACTCGGAGATAGAGCACACCTCGGTTGTGTTGCTGCGTTATGAAAAATGTTATCCTGAACTGTTAAGTTGCCATAACGTGTGGCCGTTAAAAATAGCATTTATGATACAGCACAGGGCTGATTATGTCCCGAACTCGACAGTATTGCGACAGTGTACGCACTTGTTACCTCCTCCATACTGGAGATATTAGTACATAGCATGCATGTCGTGTTAGATCAATTCGCTACATTGGAATTTCGACAAATAAAAAACTCAAAAATTTCGTCACTAGATATCTAAAATCCTTAATATAAACAAGCTTCCAGAAAACCGCTTTGATCTTTTGCCGAAAACAGCACATCATACCACACCTCATACATGTAAAGAGAATAACAAATACAACTTACTTGAGTAGCTTTGAATTTCTGAAGAAATTTTCTTCATAATCTTTAATGGTCTGAATAGCATCATCTTTCCGTCCCCTACCAGTGACCACAGCGAAATAACCCAGAGCTTTCATGGGAAATAGTTTTCCTGATAGAATTTTTCTAATCTGAAAACATTAATCTCATTTATACTTTGTTCCTAGAACATATTACAATCGTCCACTGCAAGTTTATTTAATAGAAACAATTAATTTGTTTTATCTTTAGGGCGGAAGGGTCCCTAATTAAAATTACAGCTGCATTGGTTAATTTATCCAATATAACAACGATTTTACAAGTGTTACTTCTTCGCTTTGTGCAATTTCAAGTAAACCTAATTGTGCTTAAATTCGCTGATTTCGGAATATCAGATATGAAAAACGAAAGTAATAATCTTCTCGATTATGTTCAAAGCTTTTATCACAGACTTAATATTGTTTTTGGAAACAACCTGGACAGTATATCAATTGATCTACTTATATGTTCCTTACCCTAGATGGATCAGCTAGATTTTCCTCTGCCATGTCAACTTTTGTCAAAACAAAAATTGTTCGTTTGCCACTAGGATCACAGTTAGCAACAAGATCAGTTACATTGCTTCTTTCTGCATCCACAGAACCATCCTAAACAAATATCTTGAGTTAGGAGAATCGTGAGTTAGGACGGTCGTTTGATAAGTCAGTGACTTTTTGAATTTCCCGCGCAGTCTCTGTTCCTAGACTGCTGTGACATTTTGAGCACGCTACGTCATTTATGGTGCGATTCTGTAAATCGCGTTTACATCGATGTAACTTTTACATACTGTATATTTAAAGTCCACTGTATACTTGGAATTACAGCTGTAGTGAAATCGCCATCGAACTGTAACGTCTGACGGAGCGAGACCGCGTACAGCGGAATATTTTAGACTGTAGCTAACTCCAGTATGATAAACTGTTAGTTGACATAACCAACATTGTATTGTTTATCATTATGGTGGCAGCCAAAATCAACAAATCAGGAAAGTATAGCAAAATAAAGACATACGAAAGTACTTGAGAATGTTTCAGGCAGCATGAATAACTTTGTTGACGCTTATAAAAAGAAGAGAGAACCGAAGAAAGAAGATTACAATTCAAAAATTCAAAAATATAATTTTGAAACCCATATATTTACTTTCAGTTAGTAAGAACTATTTAATTGTTTGGCTTTGTTTCTTGGGTTTGTTCGAAGTAATAATATGCGATGTAATAAACAAAGTTGTTTAATCACATTGGCTATGTTTTTCCCGCCGGGAACTACCGCAGTCTACATTGCAAGAACTACCAAATCATATTGAACCAATATAAAATAATAATCTAAATAAATAAAAATTGGTGAGACGTGAGTAAATAATGAAACCAATGAATCCTACAAAAAGGCGACACTGCAGGCATAAAAGTCACATACASAGATTCGGTGTATTCTTTAGTAACATAAATATCATCACCGTGAAATTATGCAATTTCGGGGGCACGCGTTGTCATATTCTAAGAAAGCTGTTTGGAACGATAAGAAATATTAGCACCACCTGTAGAGGGCAATATTGACTCAAACAAAAAAAAAAGTTAAAAAAAATTGGTGTAAGACGTGCGTAAATAATGACACCTATAACTCTGCAAAAGGGCGACACTAAACTCATTTTTTTAAATATTCGTCTCCCGCGATCTTGCACGTTGAAAGAACTCGGAATTCCAGGGGCACGCGTTGTCATATTCCAAGAAAGGTTTTACGAACTTTAGGAACAATTAAAACTGCTGCCTGCAGAGGGCAATCTGAGGGTGGGAGTATCATTCGAGGTTCATCAGTTCTTGTTCATAGTGTTCATAGTTCACAGTGTTCCTGTGTTCTCCTGCATAGTTTCTTCTTATTCTTCTTTCTTGATTTTAGCCTAATCGCCTGTTCAATTCTCGTTCACTTGCGTGAGGCTGTCGCTCCATCGTTTCCTGAGGCGCCCAACGTCTCTTCGTCCCAATGGGGAGTTGTCGCGAGCGATTCTCATAAGCCTGCGGTGGTCCATTCTGCTTATGTGCTCATTCCATTCCTTCTTCCTGTTTGCTACCCATTCATTGATGTTCTTGACATTACAGGCTGTTCTGATATCCTCGCCTCTCTCTCTATCCAGCAGAGTCTTTCCGGTGATTCTACGAATTATTTTCATCTCAGCTGTCTCTAGGAGCCTTTTGGTTTTCGCTGATCTCGCCTGGTTTCTGCGGTATATGTCATCACCGGCCTCTCGACGGTTTTGTAGATATCCTAGATTTAGTGTCCGTTCCCATACTCTTTTTGCACCATATGGCATTCAGGCAGCCAGCTATTCTAATTGCTTTTGTTATTTAATCTCTCACCTCCGCCTTAATATCCCCAAAGCCGGAAAGTTCCACGCCAAGGTAGTTAAATTTCATTTTCTGCTCGATTACTCTACCGTCAAGTTCCAGTTCGCATCTTAGAGGGATTTTTGATGTTGTTAAGCACTTTGTTTTGGTCGGTGATATTTCCATATTTAGAGACTAGGCTGTCAGGTTGAATAAGTGTAATAACATTTGTAACTCATTTTCACTTTCTGCAATAAAAGCGGTATCGTCAGCATAACACACTATTTTGAATTCCGCATCCCCCATTTTTTATCCCTTTAGCCCTAGAACACATAGAACAATTTTTTCCAATATTAAATTGAAAAGAGTAGGACTCAGGGAGTCTCCCTGACGAATACCGGTACCCGCTGGTATTAGTTCTGTGAGGTATCCTTCTATTTGCGCTCGTATTTTATTATTTATATATATGTTCTCTATGGTTTTAATGAGATTGTGTGGGATTTGCCTGTTGTAAAGGCGATGCAGGACGTCTTTCAGCTGAACACGGTCAAATGCTCTAGTTAGATCAACAAAATGTAAACGCATATTGTATTCAATCGATTTATCGACTATTTGTCTTAATACGAACACGGTGTATGTGCAAGATCTTCCCGATTTGAATTCCTGTTGTTCATCCGCCAACGATGTAAGATTGTTGATTTTGTTCGTAATTACTTTAGTTGTTAGTTTTAGAGCAGTGCTTAAAAGGTTTATTTCTCTATAATTTAATGCTATCCTCTTGTCCCCTTTTTTGAACATTAGCACAGTAGTGCTGGTTCGCCATTCATCTAGGATTTTGTGTTGATAGATAATTTTCTGTATTAAAGTTGTTAAATCTTCTGTTAGTCTTTTCCCACCGTATTTGAGCAATTCGTTTTGGATACCGTCTTGCCCGGTGCTTTTTCTATTTCTTAGTTTCTGTAGTGGGTTTTCTACGTCGGATGTATTGATCGTGGCATCTTCGTTAATAGTTATTTCTGGTGTGGTAGGTTCGTCTGCCGTGTTTGTCGTTTTATACAGATCGGTTAAATGTCTGATCCACTCTACCTTTTTTATGTGGGTTTGGTTCTAGCAGTTCATTGACCTAATTTCTCTGCGATCTTATGAATCGCCATATCTGTTTTTGAAGCCTGTAGAAATCACATTCCAGGCGTTTGGAGAACATTTCCCAGTGATCGTTTTTTGTTTCTCTCATTAATTCTTTAGTTTTGTTCCTAACTTGCTTATATTCATTATATGATTCTGGCGCTCGCATAGTACAATATTTTAGGTAGGCTTTTCTTTTTTCTTTGCACCGTTCCTTGACTTCTGGGCGGAACCATGGTATCTTGTGGTTGATTACTTAGTTCACTTTTATGGTTCGTTCTCAAAGTGCCTCCCTTTCTGAATTCTTGATAATATTCTTGACAATATTTTTGACTCTTTCCCCAGCTGGATTGATGTTAGTATTTCAAATTGGGTTTTCTTCGATTTTTTGTTGTAATCTATTTTTGTATAGGTACTTTATCGTAGGGTCCATAGCAGCTCAATTTTGAGTTGCTGTGTTCCTATCACCGGTCTTGGTTGTTTTGGTATTCCTATTTTCAATTTAATTCTTCCGTGTAAAAGTTTATGATCGCTTATTGATACGCAATTCATTGTAAGTACATAAGTCTATCATTAGTTCCCCGTTATCATTCAGCACATTCTCGTTGCGGTCTGTTGTCTTCTGGTGCATATATTAATAGTACACTCCTGCATCTCTAATTATTTATCGGGTGTGTTTATCGACTGTAGTTGAAAATTAATTTTCTACATTACTCATTTTGACTGTCTTTATACTTATTTACCGTTCTTATTATTAAACCAGTTTTCTTTAATATATATCTAAATTTAAATACGTTGTTAATTTTCATTAATTTATAAATTAAATTTAAATTATTTCTGTTCTGGATACCCTACAACTTCTTCTTAGACAGTCTATTTCTGTGGGGAACATTTTGTTTCTATTTGCTTCTGACCCATATTTCCGCATTTTCTTATGGGCCGATCACTACAAGGGTGGATAAGAAAACTAAATATTTTATAAATTCATTTTCGAATGAGCTTTACATCGAAACGCAGGAGAACTCAAAATGCGACCCGTGCCCAATATGTGCTTTATCTTGAAGCTCTTGACAATGACTACATTTTCCGGAGTGGTACTCTCAATCAATAATCTTCTTCTTCTTCGTATTCATCTCCACCAATTAATGATACTTTCTCTTTTAAAGCCATATTATGCAGAACTGCATACGCATAAATAATATATGCTGCTTTGCTTGGRTGATATCTAATAACTCTATGTCTGGACAAGCAGTAAAACCTTCTTTTCMRWAMKCMGTTGGTGCSTTCAATTACGTTTCTACTTCYTTTTTGCATGGTGTTAAAACGTTCTTCAGGACTATTTGGTGCAGTTCTCAAAAAAGGAGTCAACAACCAAGGCTCTACGCTATAGCCACTATCACCAATTAGGTAAGATCCCTAGTGGCCTGCATTATAGTTGTGCATAAGGTGATTTCGAATATTAGATGTTCTGAAAATGGCAGCATCATGTGTAGAGCATGCGCATCTATTCCCAAAATTGTTTGCTCCGAATTGCAAATTAGCATAACGTTTATGGAATAATTTCTGATGATGATGATAAAAGATGTCAGTGGGTTCTGTTTGCATTCAAGCGTGGAAATTCATGTGCGATTAGCTTGTGTACTTCGATAAATCGTAAACTTATTTATACTAGTACTAATTGCGCAAATAATGAGGGCCGAATTTGATTGCTCGCTTATCCCAATGGGTGTCCCACTTAGTCTTGGCCTGTTACCACGAGCCATTAACACAAACAGATGGAAACTAAAAAGGAGACACTTTTTAGACAAACAAAACCGGTACACGATAGGAGCCCCGGTGTACTCATATCCTCGACTGCTTTAAAATTTGCATCCCGAAGGAAGAAAGAAGGATTTCCTTATGCCACAGGCGACTATAGGCTCCATTTTTCTTTTGCGGGGGCGGTTCTTTTGATCCAGTTGCATTTCTACACATTTTCAATTCTATAACTTTACGAGGCGGGCTCGGTTGCTTTCAACAGCAGAAGCTTTATTTCCGGCTTCCAACAGCAAAATCGTCCACTGGAGAATCAATGTATCATTTAAAAATAGTCTGAATATTTCTTTGTATACTCTACATTRCTCGGTTTGTTTGGTTTAAACSAGACAAATTATTTGGCTAAATAATACGCTAGTATTTAAATAAAACTGTCACTGGCGAATAGATTTTCAGAAAGAAACCAATTTCACAGCCTGACARATATCCTGGCTTGTCGCCCTTTAATTTATTTGYGTTGGACGGATGAAAGAGCTGATACGTATAGAAGGGAGCGTAGTGAAAAGGGAAACCGTCTTAAAACCAGACTCTTTTGATATAGTTTACTGTCAAAGGTTGCATTATTTCCAGGCAGTTTTCAACTGAATAGTAAAGAAAGAAATGCAGATTAGTATGTATTTGAAGTTTTCTAAAATAAAAAGCGAAAAAAGCAAAAATATCTAAACTTTTTCGTGGTATAAGAACACAGAGCTCCTTTTGAATCCCCAATTGCCAAACATTGTCGCATTTTTTCAAACAAAGCTGTTAGTAAAACATTTGAGCTTTTTTAGAAAAAAATAAAAATTCCACAAGATCATCAGGCAAAACAAGGCCAGTGGCCCTGATGATGGCGTAATTGTCGAAAGCGCTTGGCCTTTGTTTGATTGAATTTCATCCAGTGTGTACACACCAATTTCTTTTTGTAATAACAATCCAAACCACAAGAACAGAGTAGGATTTATCCTGAGTCAACAAATGGATAGATGTGTTAAGAATGTAATAGCACAATCCGATAGAATTATAGAAGAAAGACTGGACGTTGAGGCTGAGCAATTCTATGAACAGCTACGAAATAACTGTCGTACTCGGCGACTTCAATGTTGAGGCTAGAAACGGACCTATCCCAGAGATAGTGGGCTCTTTCGGTCTAGGGCAGCGAAACGAGCGCGGAGATATGCTAACTCAGTTTAGTCATGAACATCAGCTCGCGGTCAAAAATACATGCTTCAAACTTGATCCACGACGTCTACACGTGGAAATCACCAGGAGACAGAGTGAGGAATCAAATAGACTGATAAATGGGAGTTACCAGAACAGTATGAGGCATCCTATTAAGGTGCGGACATTGTCTCGGACCACAGCTCCATCATCCCAAAGTTTAACTTCAGACTGAAATTATTAAACAGAAAGAAGATACAGCCAAAACTTAACATACGAAGTCTAACTGAATCAAGCAGAAGGGCAACCATGAGAACAGAACTTCAAAAACTCTGCCTGACAAACAATCCCGATTGCGAAGACGATCCTGAAGAAATATGGAAAAGGCTTAAAACCAACATATATGTGGCCACAAAAATTGTCCTTGGCCCTGATGAGAGAACAAGTTTAAAACCCTTGAGGGCAGAAGAAACATTAGACTTAATGGAACTAACTAAGGCGACTAGTGAAAAAAACAAACTGATAGATATAAAGATTATAACCGAATCATAAGAAACAAAATAAAAAATGCTAAGGTGAATAAATGCTGAAAATCTTAACACACTCCATGACAGCTTTAATTTCCATAAAAAAAATCAAATCACAAGCACTAACAGGAATAAACCGCTAACATCACTTACAAATGTATATGAAAGATTTATTGTAAATCAGGAAGAAATTAAGCAGACTGGTTAAAATATTCAACAACTACCTTTTTCACGATAACCGAGAAGACAACGTGTTAACTGTGGTGTGGTTGCTACATTCGGATTGAGAGAGTATCAGAGGGTTTGTCAAAAAAGTGACAGTGTTGTTGTTCTGTAGAATATTTTGTAGCTTCCGTTCAGTGTCTTAATACGTATGATACACGCTTAGTCTGAACCCAGTGTTTTACTAAAGAACACAACAGTAACCTTGCATAATCAAATAAGCGTTCCAACTATTATTAGGTCCGAAGTGGAGCAAGCGGTAGGACTGTTGACGAACGGTAAAAGTCCAGGACATCATAACATGTATTCTGAAGTTCTAAAACAAGTGGATATACACCATTTAACATATCTATTTAACAGAGTATGTACGAGGCGCGTTCATCAAGTAAGGGCCGTTTGCTTATATTTAAATATTGGCGCTTCGGAGCACAGTTTTATTACTGGAGAGTCATTTACTGACTCGTTGCGAAACTACAGCGTCATTTGTTTTGATTCTGAAGTCGTAGTGTTGTCCGTGAGTGCAAAGAACACTGGGCGCGAAAATCGTTGATCCCGCTAACTGTGAGGTGCGTTCTGTGATTCGTTTCTTATGTGTAAAAGGATCGTCGGCTGCTGAAATTCATCGGGAGTTATGCCAGGTTTATGGACCTAAAGTTATGAGTGGAGGAAAGGTTAGACAATGGTGCCGTGGTTTAAAAATGGCCTAGCAAATGTGCATGACGAAGACCGGAGTGACAGGCCCGCCCAGTATCCAGACCGATGAAATCATTTCACAAGTGGACCAAGCACTGCGATCTGCTCGTCGATTGACGATTAGTAACCTGGCTGGAAAATTTCCTCAGCTTGAACGCACTACTGTTTATAATATTGTCACGGAAAACCTTGCCGTTGTCAACTGGTTCAACTCTCAGGCGGCAAGCTTCTATGCAGATGGGTTAAAGAAGATGGTACAGCGGTACGAAAAATGCTTAGAAGTGAACGGCGATTATATAGAGAAGTAAAGTAAGTTTATACCTAACTAATTATGACAATAAAATTTGGTTCTTACAAATATATTTTTTCTGTGACCAAACGGCCCCTACTTTATGAACGCGCCTCGTATATGACTCCCACAAACTACCGGAGGATTGACTTATAGCGACTTTTGTTTTCATTCCTAAGAAAAATACCTCAAACAGTGTGAGGACTTTAGACTTATTAGCCTAATAAGCCATGCACCTAAGACTTTCCTCAGAATAATTCGCCGTAGGATTCATAACAGATGTGAAGAAATGAGTGGCAAGACGCAGTTCGATTTCATTAGGGGACTAGAAGCAAGAAACGCCTTGTTCTCGGTAAAGCTTCCGGTACAAAAGTGCTATTCTCAACAGGAGGACGGCTTTCTCGGTTTTATTGATTACCAAAACACTTTCTAAAATCATGATTTACTTCTAGAAAGACTACGATAAATCGGGATAGATGAGAAATATATTCAAATTATAAAACAACTATATTGGAACCAGAAGGCCGAGGTGAAGATAAACGACACAGTATCAACACAGGCTTTCGATGTAACCAAGGGAGTGCGACCGGGCTGTATTTGCCTCCGATGCTTTTCACATTTATGACGAGAAAATATTTCAGATTGTTCTCGAAATTGAACCCGGGGGTATRAAAAGGTCAATGAAAGATCCATCAATAATATCAGATACGCCGACGATACCACTACATGAGGAGGTGTTGGCCTCCACTTTGGAAGATCTTCAATATCTATTACCATTTCACCGTCTCCAAAACGAAATCCAAGGTGATCAGTAGAGGAATCCGTAAAGTTACGATCCGGGTAGAGGGCGAAAGCATCGATCAAGAGAAGACATACCTAAGGTACCTCGGATCTGTTAGCGGCGCGTGGGACTGTGASGAGGAAATTAAGACTCAAATCGGCATGGCCAAAACGGCGTATCGACGACTTTAGGCTGTCCTGCTACAGCAATGATTGCCCCTGGACCTCCAACTCCAGTGACAAAATATGTGGCCTATCCTATTGTACGGAGCTAAAACAAGGTCAATTAAAGTAAGGTCACTCAATCGCATTGAAGCGTTCGAGACTGTGGACTCTCCGCAGATTATTTAAAATCTCATACACCGGACACATTACAAGCGAAGAAGTACTGCGGAGAGCAGGTATAGAGAGAGAGTATAGAGTGGAAGAGGAAGATGGAAGGCCGAATGGAACATCAGGAATTGGAAGGGGGTGCCAGATGTGGCAATCATATTTCGTCGGGTAGAAGACAACACTTACAATAATTTGAGGAATGTACGGAAGATCCCCAACGTGCAGGATGCATATGGGACCGGAAGGAGAAGTGGTTTACTGAATTTCGTTCTGGTCGTACCAGCACAAATAACGCATAAATGGTCGATAAAATCCAGGGAACAATATTGGACGATCGGAGAATAAAATTGTGTGGGCTGGCTAAGGCTTTAGGCATCTCAGCTCAGAAGATATATCACAGTTTACATAAATATTTGGATATAAAAAAATCTATCCATACGATGGGTGCCTCGATTGCTCACACTCGGCCATAAGCGCGCCCGCGTGACCATTTAAAACTAATGTTTAGCGATGTTCCCCGTTTCGTAAAACGTGGATCCATCACAACACACCGGAGACCAAAGAACAATCAAATCAGTGGGTTTCTTCAAGTGAACGTGCACCAAAGAAAGCCGAAATGGGTATGCCGGCCAATAAGGTGATGGCCACACTTTTTTGGAATACACGCGGTGTCATTCACATCGATTACCTTGAAAGGGGTAAATCGATCCCTGGCGCATATTATTCAGAGCTTTTGGTCTTTTGGACAGATTCGATGTTGACTTGAAACGGCCGCATTTGCGAAAAAGAAGTGCTGTTTTATAAGGACAATACACGGGTGCACATGTGTGCAGTCGCCATGGCAAAAATCTAGTTAATTAGTCTACGAACTGCTACCCCACCTAGCTTATTCTCCAGATTTAGCCCTCTGCGACTATTTCCTGTTTCCAAACCTAAAGAAATGGCTGGGCGGTAAGATATTTGGGTCAAATAAAGAGGTCCTCATTGAAACAAACGCCTATTTTTATGACCTTAAGAAAACGTATTCTTTTGACGGGATAAAAAATTGGAAATACGCTAAACTAAGTGTATTGAGAGAAAAGGAGCTGCTGAGAAATAAAACGTTCTTTGGCCGAAAAAAGTAGCTTTCAATCAAAAAGTCACTGACTTATCAAACGACCCTCGTATAATATGCTAGTTCCTCTAATCTATACTCTAAAAGCCATTTAAATATAGTCCTCAGATTATTTACCTGAATACATAAAATTATGGCATTGGGATTGTTCATGTACGCTTGGGTCATCTGCCTAATGCTTTCCCTTGTATCTGCAGCCATGTCTGTTGTTTGAGTCTGTGAAAATAAAAAAATATACATGTTATTATGAAAGTATTTCAATTTGAAATTAAATCCTACCCGAAATTGTCGTATATAGTAAACCTACTAGAGTATGAATATTGACATTATATTTTTAAACACAAATAATGTTGAGGATCAA